GACAACCACCAAGAAGATGCTCTTTTGTGACTCTGCCACATGAGCCTGTAACCATAGTAGACAAAGAGAACGTTTTAAGGAGCTTAAAACTTGGGTTTTAAGTTGGAGACGACTTGACAACCTTGTGAAAGGGGAAACTTCCTTTACCTTTTAAAATTTGGGTAGGCTCATATTGAAAGATACAGTCCTCCACGCAGCTTGGGCCACCAGGAGGCTGGCATGCAAAGCATGGACTCCGTCTTTCTGACTTCTCCCCTCTGGATAGGGTTTAACCTCCCTTCTCTGTCTGTTTTGTGGGTGTCTAGGAGAGAAACAATGCAGTGGGAGCCATGGAGTCTCATAGATCTCAGGAATGACAGTAATGTGTGAGAAGCAAGGGAAAGGAATCCACTCCCTACAACATTTAACCTCAAGGGAAATGTCTCCCAGGTCACCAGAGGCTCCAGAACGGAGGCGGACGGATGCTCTGGTGGTGCCTTTGCCTTGCCCAAAGTTGGAAGGATATCATCTCAGCCAGGAAATGGCGTCATTCATCATCCTCTCTCTTGGAACCAGTCCTCCATGGGTGGAGGACGTACTCTGACGCTTGGGAAGCCACCAATGGGTGGACAAATGAAGAGTTGACCCATACAGCTGTGCGACCCAAGAGGGGCATATTTTAAGGCTGGACTGACCCCATAGGAAGCATTATGGTGGTCAGTTAATGAAAACTCGTTTCCTTTTGGGCTGCACAGAACACCCAGTTCCCTTTTCACCTTGCAGTTTGTCCTGGGTACATGTACTCTGTGTAGGTACTAGGAAAGTTGTTTGCAATGATTTTAGTTGTCACTTTTGTAAGTTTTTAATTGTACAGTGGTCCCTCCACATTCGCTGGGGTTAGGGGCAGAGGACCCTTGTGAAAGTGGAAAAACCACAAATAAAAAACTATGTTTTTGAACCTGAAAGAACACCTCTAGGAACCTCCAGGTCCTCCAGAGCAACTGTGGTCAACATCTTCCAGAAATTGACTATAGAATCACAGTGGAGGACCTACAAATGCCTATAGAGGTGTTTTCTCCAACAATTTCTAGGTACTTCAGCACAACTCTATGGTCAGCTTCTGGCAGAATTGTGTTGGAGGACCTAGAGATTCCTAGAGAGAACATAATAATCAAACCCGCAAATAATCTGCAAAAGTCAACGCTGCAAATGTGGAGGGAGAACTGTACTGACTTTTTAGACTAAGCTGCTTTGAGTTCCATTCTTGGGGAAAAACGGGGGTAAATAATAATAATAATAATAATAATAATAATAATAATAATAAGCATTTTGCACTTTCTCTCTGTGTGTGTATAGACACGTAGCCCATCCATCTCTTTTTCTGAAAAGTGATTACAGGTATTAGCTTAAGCTGCAATAAGCTAGTCTTTAAGGTGCCCCAGGTAATTTTTTAAAAATCCAGGACAGCTCTGCATGATGGGCCAAAGATTAGAGCTTATGTCCATTAAGTAGGAAAGTGAAACTTATTTCGTAAGTTGGATATCTTCCCTCCTTGAAGAATATTCAGCCGCTTCAGCTGCCCTTGTTTAACCTCCTGGAATCTATAGAAAAACACTCTGGGGTCCTGCAAGTTATTGAAAGTCAGCAAAGTTTGGCATTAGAAAAATCCTTAAAATCCCAGGATTGACACAAGAGGGATGATTTCCAAGCCAGAATTTTTTAGGTTGCATCTACACTGTAGAAATAATAATGCATTTTGACACCAGTCGTGGAGTTTTTCTGGCAAGATTTGTACTGAGAAGATTTGCCATTGCCATCCTCCGAGGCTGAGAGCGTGCAGCTTGCTCAAGGTCACCCAGTGGGTTTCCATGGCCAAGGCAGGATTCGAACCCTGGTCTCCAGGGCCATAGTCCAACACTCAAACCGCTATGCCACACTTCCTCACTCAGCAACCAACATGAGGAAGCCATAGCCATGAACTCTGAAGCCAGGTGGCTCAAGAGGAAGTTACCATGATGAACTTGGCAGCCAGGTCCACCCAGTTCTCCTAATTCGAGAGGAAGGATGGCTTGGTCCAGCGGACATTTGGCAGAGGATGGAGGAAAAGGAGGAAGCAAGGAGCGTCTCCCTCATCCCCCCAGAAAAGTCCCTGCGAGGCTGGAAAAGGGAATCATAGAATTGGAAGAGACCCCCAAGGGCCATCCAGTCTGGCCCCCTTCTGCCATTCAAGGAATCTACCATCCAAGCCCTCAACTTCTGCTTAAAAACCAGGAGGAAAACTGAGCCGAGGCAGCTGCTTCGGGTGGCAAATCTGGGCAATGCTCGTGAGTAGGGAAAAGGAAGGCTTTGCTCAAAGCAGGGGTAGGCAACTTTTCCCCTTTAAGGGCTGAGGGACTTCAGCTCCCAGAAGCCTCAGCCATGTTGGTCAATAGTCCCATGTTGGCCAATAGCTCCTGGGATTCTGGGAGCTGAAGTCCCTTGGCCCTTGAAGGGGAAAAGTTGCCTACCCCTGGCTCAAACTAACTCCTTAAAACCTGGTCACCTGTGGCCAAGACACTCCTACTATTATCATTATTATTGTTATTATTTTATATACTTCTTTGTATGAATATTTATGTATATTCTCCAAATACAGGGATTCAAGGGAGCTAACCACAAATTAGCCGGCGTGGCATAGTGGTTTGAGTGTTGGGCTACCACTCTGGGGACCAGGGTTCGATCCCTGGTTTGACCATGTAGGCCCACTGGGTGAGCCTGGGAAAGTCACACTCTCTCAGCCTCCGAGGAAGGCCATGACAAAACCACCTCTGAAGAAACTTGCCAAGAAAACCCTATGATAGGTTTGTTTTAGGGTCTTCATAAGTTGGAAACGGCTTGAAGGCAAACAACACCCGAGGAACAGCGGCACATGGGATTGTCACAGCCTCGCCTTGCAGTCCTGTCTGCGTTGTCTGGAGGGGCTGGAGACGCACCCAGCAGGTGGTCCTCCAGGTGTTTTGGACTGCAACTCCCAGAAGCCCCAGCCACCTTGGCCAACAGTCTGGGATTCTGGGGACCAAAGTCCAAAAAACCACCTGGAGGGCCAAATGCTGGGAATAACTGAGTTGTGGTTGCAGTGATTCCCAAACTCTGGCCTTCCAGGTGTTTTGGACCTCAGCTCCCAGCATCCCAGAGCATTGGCCAAACAAGGCCTGGTTGGGGCTGCTTGATTTCAGGGTTGTTCCTCCTGGGGCCAGCAGGAGGCGCAGGATCCGAACCCTCTGCCTCCCTTCTCTTCCTCCTGGCTTCTTCCCTTCCCTTCTTCCAAAAGGCTGGCAAAGCAGAAGGAGAAGGAGAAGGAGGACCAGCATTAGCAGGAGCAGGAGCAGGGGCTCTCCATCCTTCTGAGTCCCATCGCCCGGTGAGTAGCCCTTGCAAAGAGGCTGGAAGCGTCCTCCTTTTCCAGGGCACGCCCTCCATTCCCACCTCCTGTTCAGTGCCTTTGGAGCCGGACTGAAGGAGCATGCATTGACATTGAGAAAGGAGCCTTTGGGAGCTTTCCTTTGGCCCTTTCTATTGAAGGTCCTACCTTTTGCCCAGGTGGCCAGACCCGTCCTCCTTTTCCAGGGCACGTCCTCCATTTCAACCTCCAGGAGGAAAGGTCCTCCCTTTGGAGAAGGACTAAAGATTGACAGAGGGGTGTTTTATGTCCACATTTCTCTGGCATGGCCTGGGTTTTGGGGTGCCTCGTTGTCCTCCTTGGCCATGAGGACCCCTGGTCACCCTGGGCTGAGGGCTGGGGGCATTAAGGAAGCCCCCAGAGAGGCAAAGCCCTGGCTGGCAGGGGACTCCTTTGCCCCAAACCTGGTGGCCAGGTGGGCAAAGGAGGGGGCCAGGTAAGAGAAGCAGGCAGAGAAAGGAAGGAAGGTGTGAGAGAGAGAAAGGGGGCCCCATAGAGCTCTTTTCGAGATCAGCCCTGAGCTATCAAATGACTATGAGGAGCCCAGGGGCATCTGGAAGGATACTCCAAAGACTTTTCTTGGTTAATGGGGTGCCCCTGTTGTCTTAGGGCGACCCCATAGCTTTCACAGGACCTTCTTTCAGGAGATGGTTTTGCCAGTTCCTGTCTCTGAAATAGAGCCTCCAACACCTGCTGTCTGTTGTCGGCCTCCCATCCAAGTCCTAACCAGGGCTGACCCTGCTTACCTTCAAAGATCAGGTGGGATCTGGTGCCTTTAGGGTACTCAGAGCATAAGGGGATCTTGCATTTGTATTATGTATATGTATCAGCCATCCATGTAGGAACGATAAATGGAGTCAAACCACCTTATTCCCTGGGTCCTTTCCATAGCTTTTGTGTGTTTGTGTTTGTGTTTCATTCTGTGGTTTTACTTTTCTCCAAATGGGATGGACTTTGGAGCAGGGCCTTTTTGGTGCTGTCTCCCTACTAGCATCTTGAGTATCTCCTTTTAATATTCTCCTTTTGGTTCCTAGGGAAAAATGCACAAGGAGCGTCCATGCAGAGGTGTGGGACCATATTGCCTTCCAGGTGTTGTTGGACTCCTGCAACTCCCAGCATCCCCTACCATGTTGGAGATGCTTGCAGTCCAGCCTCATGTGGAAGGCTGCATGACTCCCAACACGGCAGATAGGAATTTTGTTGGCTTGGGGACTATAAACACCAGCCTTTTAGCGTTCTGTGGATTTCATTTTTCCCTCCCTGAATTAAGAACTCTGGGATTTGATTATATTATCAGGTTTTGTTTTGGCAAGATCATTATGTCCGGATGTTTTTGAGTGGTTTCAGATGCTGGAGCAGAGAGTTCACAAAAGCAGATTGCAGATTGGGAACAAGAGGCTGTGCTTGTTTCCCTTCCCAATTTCATCCAGGCGTGAAGCTGCTGCTCAGAGACATCAGTGTCATATTACAGATATGACAGCATCCCTACAATGTGCCTTGAAACTCCATTTTATGTCTTGATTTTTGCAGTTTTTCAAAAAAGCTCCTGGCTACCTGAAGGACTGGGTCTCCTCCTCTGACAGACAGTGTGGTGAAGTGGTTTGAGCATTGGATTACGACTCTGGAGATCAGGGTTCGAATCCTCGCTCAGCCACAAAATGCCCTCCCAATTGACCAGGTCACTCTCTCTCAGCCTCAGAAGCGGGCAAAGACAAAGGCTTTCATTCTGTAGAGAGTTTAATATTTATTTTACTCTGAAATCTTTATATGTTTGTATTGTACTGTACCTCTTTTTATTCCGTAAGCCTCCACTTTTTGGGAAAAGGCGAGATATAGATAAAAGTGTTTGATTCATCGATTGACTGGAGCCTGGTCTCAGTTGCATGGGAAGAGGTTGCATGTTCCTCCCTGTTGGTGCATTTACTTATGAGTAAATTCCACCACATTCAACAGGGTTTACTCTTAAGCTCTTCCAGACAGCAGAAATAAAGCAGTTTGACGCCCCTCCATCCTGTGGAACCCTGGGATCTGTAGTTTGGTGGTGTATGCAGCCAGTGTAGCGTAGTGGTTTGAGTGTTGGACTGTGACTCTGGAGACCAGGGTTTGATTCCCAGTTCAACCACGAAACCCACTGGGTGACCTTGAGCTAATCACACTCTCTCAGCCTCAGGGGAAAGCAGCAGCAAACCACCTCGGAGTAACAAATCTTGCCCCCCAAAAAACCCACGAACCCTTAGGATCACCATAAGTCGGAAACAACTTGAAGGCACACAACACATGCGCACGGTGTATGCAGCCCGGTCTGTCAGAGAACCTGTCTGCTGCCTCACCAAACTACAAATCCCAGCATGATAGAGTCATGCTTTATTTCTGTAGTGTGGCTGCATCCCTCAATAGTTGTGCTAAGGATATTCCCAGCAGGTTGTTCTTGTGATTCATTCGTTCTTGTTGACGGATCTGAGTGGATTCTTTGCTCTTCATCCTTATCGTTCACGCTCCCTTGTTCTATTTAAAGACGGCAAAAGTGACCCTTGGACGAATTGGATCCATCTCTGGCTGGAGCAGGATCCAAAGCCAGGTCCAAGTCCGTGGTTGCTGTCAGCGGCTTGTTTGTTTTTGTTCAGAGAGAACCGCCATCTGGATACCGCAGAGGATGCTTGTGGGGTTGGAAAGAAGGCCGTGTCGGTCTCCGGATTTGTTGGGCTACAACTCCCATCGTCCCTAGCCACAGCCGGGTCAGAGAAATCTGGAGTGGGCAGATTGGAACGCTTTGGGTCCTTGCCAAAGTAAGCTTGTTTATGTCAAGTCCTGATTACTCTCCTCCCACCATTGTATGTCGGATTTGAAAAAAGAGGTTATGAGCCTGGCCTCCTCCTCCTCCTCCTCCTCGTCCTCCTCCTTCTTCTTCTTATACTTTATTTATTATTATTATTTCTTACCCACCTCTTCTCATGGATCAAGGCACGGAACAACATCAATTAACAGACACACCGCATGAGTTAAAACACATCAGTTAAAATACCTATCAGTTTAAAAGGACAAGATATACACATATCTAAACACATATCTAAACCAAGAGCATCTGAGGAAGTAGACTGAAGTCTACAAAAGCTCATGCTGCCAACTTCTCTCTTTCAGTTAGTCTCAAAGGTCTCTCTTCACAAAACAATCCACATTTAAAATTCATCATTTAAAATTCACAATTTAAAAAAAAAATCATCTGGGTCAGCCTGCCGGAAGAGACTGGTCTTTAATGCGGTCTTTAATATGGTCTTTAATATGAGTCTGTCCAGCCATTGAGATCCTCAGGAGAGGCAGTCCCACCAGTTTCACAGGTACGGTTGGTGGAAATATGGGAGACGTAGTTTTCTTGGTGGCTGCCTCTGAACTCTAGAACTCCCTCCCTAGGAAGACCAGAATGGCCCCTTCTTTGCTGTCCTTCTATCAGCAGCCAAAGACTTTATTATTATGATTATTATTGTCGGCACTCCATATCCATGGATTCCTTATTCACTGATTCTATCATCCATGGCTTGAAAAAATTACAAAATATATTTATTGTTGTTGTTAACTGCCTTCCAGTTGTCCCTGCCCCATGGCGACCCTCCGGGTGAGATGTCCCAAGATCTCCGGTCCTCCACTGCTCTGCTCAGATCCTGCAAATTCATGCCCATGACTTCCTTAATGGAACCCATCCGTCTTCGTCTCTTCCTCCTTCCCTCCACCTTTCCTAGCATTATTGTTTTTTTCCCAGTGATTCCTGTCTTCTCATGATGTGTCCAAAGTACGACAGCCTCAGTTTGGTCATCTTGGCTTCTTCCAGATATCTCTGGCTTGATCTGCTCTAGGACCCCTTTGTTTGTCCTTTTGGCCATCCATGGGAACCTCAGCACTCTTCTCCAGAAACACATTCTCTCAAATGTATTGATTTTCCTCCTATCTTCTTTCATGACTGTCCAGCTCTCACATCCATCCATGGGAATAATAGGGAATACAATGGCTTGTATGATTCAGACTTTTGTGCTGAGTTGTATATCTTTGCATTTTAGGATCTTTTCTATTTCTAGAGTTTGCTGAGGATAACCAGGTTTGCGGTTGCAATGACCCTCCTGCCTTTTAAAAGCATTTTGGTCTTCTCTTCCCTCCCAAGCCTGCAACTAATTTTGGGTGGTGATGGGGGGGAGAAAGGGAAAGAGGAGGCCAAGTCATTCCCGGAGGACAGCTGTAACCGATCCCATTCAGGAATTCAGAGCCAAAGGGCAGAAAGAGGGTGGAAGAACCAGGGGAGGAACGGGGAACCTATACAGAGGGAGAATCAGGAATGTCTCCAACCCTTTAGAAGGCCGAAAGAGGATGTGGGAGAAGCATTTGGCCTTCCTCGGCTATGTGTCTCTGCTTCCCGTTGCCTGTTGAGTTATAGCAACCCCGTGAATTTTGCAGAGGTTTCTTATACAAGGAGTACCCACGACTCTGGAGACCAGGGTTCGAATGCCTGCCGAGCCATGAAACCCACTGGGTGACCTTGGGCAAGTCACACTCTCTCAGCCTCAGAAGATGGCCGTGGTAAATCTCTTCTAATGAAACTTGCCACAAAAACGCCGTGACAGGTTTGCCTGAGGTCACCAGAAGTCAGAGATTACTTGAAGACACACATCAGCAACAACAACAACAACACAGCAAAAACTACAATCCCAGAGATGGTTTTGGCGGTTCCTTCCTCCGAAATACAGCTTCCAGCACCTGGGATTCCTTGACCATCTTCCATCCCAAGGACTAACCAGGGCTGACCTTGTTCGGTTTCCAAGAACGGATGGTATCTGGTGCCCTTAGGGTATTTAAATCCTGTACACTATATATATATATATATATTGTGTGTGTGTGTGCCTTCAAGTCTCCTGTTGACTTATGGTGATCTCATTAATTTTGCAGTTTTTCTTAGGCAGAGGTGGTTTTTCCAGTTCCTTCCTCTGAAATACAGCCTCCAGCACCTGGGATTCATTGGTGATCTCCCATCCAAAGACTAACCAGGGCTGATCCTACTTTGCTTCCATGATCAGACAGGATCTGGTCCTTTTAGAGTATTTGCAAACTACTGTTTCAAGATCTAACAGGCAACGGTAGCAGCTGATACCTGTAACTCCATTTAAAGACAATAACCTCATGGCGAGCCTTGTGGATGCTCTTTGGGAAAAAGCGTCGTTTATGGGGTCATATAAGTGTCTGGCATGTCAAAAGCCGGTATGGGAATGTCTGGCATATCTGATGCTGCTTGAAGGTGTCCTAGCAGTAAATAACTGTCTGTGATAAAACTTCTACTCCCGGTCTAGAAAGTATGTGAACCTTGATGAAGTAAGGTCCCAACATGAATCACTGAGTTCAGCAAGAGATTTTAAGCTAAAATATTGCAAGCGCATTCCTTGGTTTGCGAAACAAAGCCCTTGTTCTCTTGCAAGGCTGACAGTTGAAGGCTCGGTTTTAAAGATCGATCTATCCCAGCCCTAAACTGCAAAACGAATGTCAAACGTCTCCAACAAGGCCACCAATACAAGCAAACCCTTTTGTGTCACTGGGCAGCTGGGAACGTTTGGCCGTGATGCTAACAAGGACTCCAAAACCCATCTGCCTGGCACCAGAGGCCCAACTCATTGCAGTGGGTCCTAGTATTTGCTGGGCTTTGGTTCCAGGATCCCTTGTGGATAGAGCAAAATCCATGGATGCTCAAGTCCCGTTATATACAGTGGTGTAGTAAAATAGCAAAATCTTACATAAAATGGCAAAGTCAAGGTTTGCTTTTTGGAATATATATATATATATATATATATATATATATATATGAATATTTTCAAGCCATGGTTGCTTGAATCCGTAGATAAAAAAAAAGATCTGTGGATACGGGGGACTGACTGTTCATAGCTAAAGACTTTTCTCGAAACAGGCTGATTTGGTCTACTCTCCTCTCTGCGACCGCTGTGCAATCCTGTAAAAAGTGCAGCCTCCTTTAGCAGGTAGTGAACCAACAGATTTGTGGCCAGAGGGTTCCTCTCCTGCGAGGATGGAGACAAAGATCCTTGTCTTGTCCTCTTTCTGCTTATCTGGGATGATCCCATACAAGTCTGAAGGCTTAACTCGTCTCACTGTGTCTTGACTTGCTGTAATCTTCTGAATATTTGCATGGTTACTAAAGGATTTACGTAACAGTTTAGGATAATTTACCAAAGAACATACAACTGGGCAGCGTTCCCAGGCCTCTCTTGTTAATTCTGTCACCTCCGTATCATTTTTCTGTCCCAAAGGGCCACCCACACCTGCGGGCACTCACCCAAAAACATGATTCATTTGTCAGATCTCTGCTTTTCTTAACACCTCTGATGATCTGAATTTTTGGGAGGGTGTTCAAGACCTTTGGGCTCCATTTTGTTAAGGTTATTGTACATGCATTTGCTTTTTCAACTAATCCACAACTTTCTCATTCATTGTTGTTGTTTGGTTACTCCCATTTCCTTTTGTTTATCTCTGCCATCATTGCAAAATATAGCCCAAATATTAGCATGGTTCCAAGGGGTATATTACCTTGGACCCTCACCACAGTTTTGTAACATAGGGCTGTAATCATACTTTGTTGTTAGTTGCTTTCAATCTATCCCATCCTTTGGC